GCCTACCTCAAATCACCAAATGGCTTTTAAAAAGTATCCAGAATTTTACGATGTAAAATAGTTTATCATTCGTTTGACTTCTGAGAGGAGCATAGCTTCTTGGGTACTCCAGCTTGTTGACAAAATTGGACAATCTTCTTAAGTGTGGCCGTAAATCAGACCCAGAACCAAAGCAGGCAGGCCAATGGGCGAAATGGTTCAATCGGCTCCCTTCTGAAGTCCTCCTTGAATGTGGTTCCATTTAGGAAGATACATAAATCTGCTAGACCAATTACGGTGAGGGGGGGCAGAAGTACAGGAGCTCCTCATGCAGGCTCTGCATTGCATCAATTTGTCAATGTTGCCTTACAGGTGTTCGGCTTAGATGGGATTTTTATGGAGGGAGGTTTTCCGTTTTATATTTAATGGCAATTGAGGCTGTTTTGCCTCTGTGGTGATGGGGCAGCAACATCAGCAACTTTTTCAAAGTGACATCGTGGACTGCCCATGGTATTTCAAACATTTTACCCAAGGACACAGAAATTTTCAAATAATCGTTATGGGTACACAATATTCAAAATGGAAGCAGAAATGAATGGAAGCAGAAATGAATGCATTGCTTTGAGACCTCTGCTAAAAAAGGTAATTTCTTCCTTTTCACTTTTGTACTGAAACTTTTCTAATTTACATAATTTACATCATATACTTAAGAGAAACAGGAAAACACCTCCAGTAACTGGTACATGTAATATCTCATTGGTCATATTAAAAAGGGAAATCTGAAAGTTTGGAAACATCACGTACAGTGTATCCTGCATTGACAGTGTGCACCTGGTAGATCATATCTAGGTGTAGCAAGTTCATGTAAAATGTCACTTCAGGGAGTGAATGACATGTGTACATGTAGCTAACAACGTGATATGGTGAAGAATTTTTAAAACCCTTGGAATGTAATGACCTTACATTACTCTTTTCAAGGAAATTTAAAGGATGTCAGCAACATGCAGTGCACTGATGACTGGGGGAGAAGGAAATGAGTACTGGGTGTACAAGCCTACAAGGTAAGGATCGTGTATTTTTTTCTCTGAAGAGAACAATAAACTTTGATCAAACCCCACCTAAAATTTGTTGATTGAATTTGAAATGGTCTGTCATTCGGCCACAGCACCCAAAAAGCTAATGTGTGGTCAAACTACATTCAAACCATCAAAAGGTTACACAGACATAAAAGAGAAACGACACAATGACATTAAGAAACAGGTAACAGAATGGTCAGCTAAGTGTGCAGGAGACGACACCAAAAAGAGTGATGTCTAAGATTGGGAGACAATCAAGAACGGTTCTTCCCAATATAAGAAAAAATGTTGGGAAGGTTCAATCAAGCACCACTAGTTAACTAGTGGTTGATTCATGACGTAGGCCTACCAATTGCATGTACATGTACAGTGAAGTTGAAGTGTGCATGACCCATGACCCTAGTCAACCGATGTCAGGTCATTCAGCCAAAGGGGAGAAAAGGTGGCTGCCAGAAGGGCAAATAGCAACAATTACAGTGAAAATGGTTGTTTACTAGTGACATACTGTTTTTCTGGCATTTTTCCTATAACTGGTTGTCCTCTGCACTGTGCTATTGAAAAAATTTATGGCAACCAACGACGGGACCAACCTCGGTAGGCTGGTTGCGAATAGTTGACTACACTAGTCCAACCATTATTAACTAACGCGAGTTCAATAAGTTAAGTGAGATTTGTAGCTTTGCATGGTGGAAGAGACGTGAGAAATAGGTTTGCGGGTACACCATGGAATCATTCTCTTTTGGGAGAGGTGTGGTTCTTAAAAGAACCAGTGAGTGTTAACTCACCGTGAATTAACACTCACAGGTTCTTTTAAGAACCACACCTTGCCCAAAAGAGATTGATTCCACGGTGTATCCGCAAACCTATTTTTCAATTAGTCAAACAATGGTTAGCTGTGGTCCCTGATTGACTTTGCCCTTGACTTTACCTAGTGAATTTATAAAAAAACAAAGCTGCATTAAAATCTGATTGTAAACAGCCTTACAACACTGTGAAGATAGTTTTCATATCGGCCTCATTTTGTTTCACATTGGGCTTATTTTGCTCTTTTAGTTTCCCTATCTATTGATCTTTATTCAATTACTTAGCTTCAATGTACTATTTTGTTAACGGTTGTATTACCTTCATTATTTCCTGTATTGTCTTTTATACAGGGGTGTGAGTGGCCAGTTAAAATCAAAGCTCTCAATAAGCTGAAATGTAAGAAGTTCAAATACGTTTGGACAAAAAAGGCGGAAATTCAGGGTCAACATCTGAACAAAAAAAACCTTAAATCAGCTAAAAAGCTGAATTCTCACACACCCCTGTTTATATTAATCCACTTGTTTGGTTTATTGGAAAGCTCAAAATAAATGTCTATGGAATTTATTGAATGAATTCTATTAACAAAAAGATAACTTTAATAAATCTCCATAATGTGCAATCTGGGACAAATTCTATTCACCTGCTTAGTAGGCAATATTACAAACCAAAAATCAGTTGGTAACCAGTCAGGGGCGGTGCACATTTAAAGGGCACTTTGGATGGTAACCTGTTTTCTTGGGAAGCAAATATTTTCTGGGCTGAGCAAGTTTTTGACCTGAGTTCCTCACATCTAGCACTATGACACAGGTTAGCCAGAGCTGTTGCTGAGAAAATATAGGAGCGTTTGATAAGTTGAGGATTTGCAGTAACATTACGCAAAAATATCTTTCTTTTCTGGAAAGACCCAGAGGGTACTCAAAGTTTACTGACAACAGACAGAGGAATGACATACATTGTACATGGTACAAAGTAGTCTGGAGGGAGCCCTGGAACAAGGGTCAAACAATGTTGGTGGCTAAATCAAGGGGATATCAAATTTATCCACTGACCATGCATATACATGTACATGTAGGCAGTGAATAGTCTTTTTGGACCACCAATTTAGCTTCCAAAGCAGAGCGCCTATCATTCATGAAGTGCTTTGAGGATCGGGCTGCATTATGCAGACTGGCTAGCACGCACGGGGCAGTGACGTCTGCAAAAGCAATGAAGTTACTTGCTTACGCAATCCTCCACTCCGACTTCTGGACTGTGAAATACCCTGGTGGACTGCAAAGGTCCATGTAGCCTACTCCACGGAAATGCCTGATGTGCATGGACAAATCAAAAGGGATGCAGCCATTTACCCAAGTGGAGTAGCCCAGTGTGGAGGAGGGAAATCAGACTGGGTTTGTTTCCGACATGTGTAACATTGCCAGGTGTACAACCCAGCTGAAGAGGTGGGCTCACATGCAGCCCAGGGGCCAGTATGGAACCCTCCTGGAAAATGTAGGTGGTTGCAAAAGTGGGTCATCGGGTGAATTCCAAGCCAATCCTCTTCCTTCGGAAGCGGTATTCAATGTGGCCTTCTTGCAATGGCTACGATGTTCTTTTGACGACTTCCTCTGTTGAAGTCTTGCATGCATTTTTCATCTGGCTAATACTGGTACGTTCCAAACCAAAAACCTACAGCCATCCACATTACTTCTGGAGTAGCAGATTTCAGTTTCTAATGTGATGGTGGTTACCAAATTTGAAACCCCAGCCGCTGAAACAATTTGCACACAGCACAAGAGCACCTACAATTCTATTTCACCATGACCTATTTCAGGCCTCAACCATCTAAACCTGTACACATAACAAACCAAGTCACTCTTCCAAAAACCCGATTGAATCAGATACAGAGAACATTTTTTAACACTGGGCTTTCCTGCTCAAACAATGAATGGCTGGGAACAGGAAATGACTTCAGAAAAGGTGAGACAACTGGAAACCAACTTTTGCCATTTTAGAAAGTTAGAACCTTAGCCTCATAGGAACTTCACATCGGTAGGTATCAGCGACGCAACTATGACAGAAGGAATAATGGATGGGACTCTGGTTCTGGAACAAGTGACTAATGGTTAATTTATTCATTTTATTTGTGGTGACCACAAACATGCAGGCAGCTTTGATGAGGCATTCGTGTCCAAATGACCCAACGCATCAGTTGTAACAACCAGTTAATCTGTGTCTCTAGGCCCTCCAGCACAGGTAGCATAAAATGAAGGATTGTGGATGCAGGATCAGGTTTAAATTAAGTATTATGGGGAATACTGTGCTGGAATACTGCTAGAAAATTTCATGAGATGAGGTAGAAATCAAACCAGTCATCACTCACAAGAAACGCCCGACCTTGTAGGCAACCTTGACCAAAATTATTCCTGAGCTCAGTATCACTTGACACCAGCCCTCTGTTTGAGGACAATGTCGGCCTGAAAATTCTGGACACCAAATTTTTCACAACAAAAGCTTGACAAGTTATGAAAGAAAAAAATACACAGAGACAACATAAATGTTTTGTTATAAACACCAATGAAGTGAAAGACTTGTATCATTTGAAGGTGTCCATGGTGGACATTGAAATGTCTTTTCATTCGCTACTACACAAGATTTTGTGACAAGACAATGGTCTGCATGAGAAGCAGAATAAAAGGAAATTTCATATGACCAGTGGTAGTGTCAAGGTATTCTTCTACAAAGAACTTAACTTAGGCCATGTTGACACAAATCTGCTACATGCACTTTTGCTGCAGGCAGGCTCATTTTGCCCAAAAGTTTTGGGCCGCCTCTTGCCTGTCAGCACCTGGGAGAAACCCTGCATTGTATCCTTTCCCAGTGGGAACAAGAGAGGGCGTGCTTTTACATAGCAACAGCAGTCCTTCGGTTGGAACTCCACACTAGCACAGACAGGTTTATGTGCACAGGCCAGGCACACACAAAGCACACTTGATCGACATCTGTTTGAATGTATACCGTCGTTGCCTGTGTACAAGTCTACGTGATGCGTGCATGAAGCCAGTTGAAAACTTCCCACCAGCTTTTCCTTCCCCTGTGAGGATGCACTTCAATTCTGCGGATATCGGCACCAACCAACCCACCCCTCCCTCCCGATAAACCTACCTGTTTCTTTGTCTCTGCTCTCCCCACCGTGCGCCACTGCGCTCCCTTCGCCGGAGTGGTGCCGCTGGTGGTGTAAGCTGGTGGCAGTGTTGCTGCAGCCCGGCTGGGCCCCCTCTGGCAGGCCTGCGACGGTGGCGGAGGTGGTGGAGGAGACCGGGCGGGCCATGACGTCACCCACGTGCTTGTAGCTGACAGGGCTGCAGCTGGTACCCAGGAAGATGCTGGCCGACTTGTTCTGCTTGGTGTAGGTAGTCAGGAGTTCCTCCAGCTCGCTCTCCCTGTTGGCATTGGGAGGACAAGTGCAATTCTTGTGAGGAATTACTAAGCCAACAACTTTCAATCTGTGACCGGACCCAAGCAAAATGAGTCGCAAGTCACCAGAGATACTTTAGAGCTGTCCTGTAACAAGCCGGAATGAATCCAACCCCACAGCATTTTGTCCAATATTGTCACATCATTTTTTTCCTTTGCCAAATCTGCAGAAGTTATTCAGTAATGTCTTGAGGCTGACACCGATTTTGTGAAAATGAGACCAACAGTTCAGGCAAAACTGCATTTTTTGGGAGCAAGTCCGTGAATAATGTACACTTTTCCAACTGAAGTGCTCAATGGCGCACAAGCTGACATGCAAAAGGTTATGAACTTCAAACGACTGGGACAACAAAACCATATCGGATTGAATGGAAACTTCACAGATGTACTCATAACGAGTGTTTTAGTTTCAAAAAGATTGCTCGTATGATATCAGAGTTCCTTAAAGGTGGATTCTGCATCCCTTGCCCACCCCCCCCACGAGATGGGCCAAAAAGCCTGGCATCCTAGGGTTAAAGGCCTTGACAAGAATCTTTTCTTCTTCCTCAGAGTCGAGAAGCACCAGCATAGAAACTCAGCAGGATATTTACTAAAAACTCTTCCCCGGTGAGTTCAGCTAACTTCCCGGAGGGACAGTGGACATGAGAATAAACCTTTTAGAAGCATTGCGGACACAATAGGAGGGCGCTATTTGAAGTGGGTAAGTTTGGAGTGAACACAAAAGATTTTCGAATCAAACAGTGCCCTCCTGTTGTGTCCGCCATGCTTCTAAAAGGCTAATGAGACGAGTGCTTACGTGGCAATGGTGGTGAATTGGCTGAAGCGATCCTCGGTGGGGTCATTCTCTTTGTCCTTGGTAGGGTTACCTAGCTTCTGGTCCATCTTCCTGCGTAAGTCCATCTGTTCTGTCTCCTGGAAATATCCAACAATTTACAATTCTATTTGTGGTCTTGATGAATACAACCGAACTGTTTTTATTACACGTTTTTAACAATTTTTATACCCATGACACCTGAATACTCAGCAATTAATAATTCATTTATAAACCTTCAATTTCATACAGTTTTGTTCAAATGGGCCGTGTACTGAAGACATTAAACTATGACACGTTTGGGCTGAAAGCATCTAAAGGCGCTTCAGGTAGCTGCCAAATGACCGACATCTGCTCATGGAAAATAGCCAGAGACTATTAGGGAGTGTCTCAAAAGTTGAAAAAAACCAAAGAATGTTCATTTGCACGTTTCAGTCGGGAATACCCACTGTTCCTTCTGAATAGAACAGAACAGAATATGTTCCCAAATGGGAACATAGTCTATGTGTAACCAAGCTAACCTAGAAACAGAATGCTCCTAATGGGAACACAGCAAATTCCCAACTGGTGTACAAAACACACCAGGTTCATGAAGAAGCATTCCCATCCAAATGGAGTACCAAAGTGTTCCGTCATTTGGAACAAAGGAAGTGTAGCACACGCCTGTGTTGGTTCACACGCTCGTTCTCACCCTAATGCCTTTTCCAAACAGAATTGTGCGCGTGATGTATTCACTTATTTACTCTATAGGAACAATCCGAGCTTTGGACACACATTTTTTCTTTTTCAGCTCACAAGCCCTGGTGGGAATTTGAGATTGGCCCAACTAAGACAGCTACATTAAGTAGGTTGACTGATTTGTTCCCACAGATTTTAAAAGAGGAGGACCAAGTAGCCTCAAAGTGACAGCTCCTACCTTGCCGTTTCAGGGACCGTCTTATCGCATAGTAAGCATTGTTACACACTCAGGGAGTGTCCTAAACTGACATGTAGGTAACGTTGGGCATTGTTACTGCTTGACATTACTGCATCAAGTTTTAAATGGGAAAAACTTTTCTTCAGTGAAGAAAGTAACAATTTCTGCCCCACTTATGGCCAGTCTTGTATTCTGGTACCTGCCTTTCACCACACGAGGGCCTAAGATAAGATAAAAACAGGTGTACGGATGCCAGACAACAAAAGGCCAATTACTATGCTCTTTGCCCTTGGCCACATGACTTCTGAAGGAACACTGGAGCATCTTAAATGTGATTAATTGAAAAAAATCCATTTTCAACGAAGCACAGTCTCATTTTGCGTGATCAGGAGGGTAATTCCAAAAATTAGGGTCCAAAAGTGTGACATTTTTGTGTCCCTGTTACATCTGACCTTTGTTATTTGACACGGGATTATCACCAGAATTAATTTCAAACCATTAGTATTTGTTTTGTAGGTAATAAGAATTAATTCAATACTCTTGGAAATTAGAAAATGTGTTCTGAACTTACAAAATCATATGTCAGATGTGACAGGCACACACAAAAAAATGGACCCCTAATTTCTGGAATTACCCACGAACCATGTTTTATTCTCACAGAGATACTTTAAACTACGTAACAAAAACTGTTTGAAAGAACAACTTCAAACAGCAAGTATACCACTCGCCAGCTGAGAAAACTCTGCCAGAGAGGCCAATCAGGCATTTTCTCATAAAGATAGGGGGTCTCTACAACTGAGAAAACCCGGCAGCAAGCCAAAGAGGCAAAGAGAATCAGCCAGGATTGGCCACTATGCACATGAGAAGTCACGCCGACTCGGACTACTCAACCCTTGATAGCCTTACTCATCTGCGAGTGTCAATCTATAAAAGCAACATGCCTTGTTGTAAATCTGGACAAAGTCCACCAGCTGCTTGGCCAGGACTCTTCTCCTGTCGTGGGCGGGCAGCTTCCTGCTAGGCACGATGACTTTGAACGGCTGCTGCAGGTTGCCTGCGGCTCTCTTCAGGAATCGCAAAACCAGGTCCTGGAAAGAAAAAAGCAAAAATGGCTCAAAACTATCACTCACTCCTGTCCATGCCATTTCTATCCCATGTGGAAGTTGTCCCTGACAAGCGAGGGTGCTGTTTTCTGTGATGACAATCGGGGAATGACACCGCTTAGATTTGGATTTTCCTGTTGAATATGTTAACCTAGAAGTTGCTTACTGAAATCACTTCTGAGAAAGGGTTGACTGCAGGCATATTACCATGTACTCAATCTATTACCTCAAAAAAAGAAAATTCAGAACATATCAAAATTTGAAGTTCTGTGTACTCAAATGAAACATTGGAAGTTTCTCAACAGTGTGACATCACGGTCTTGCTCATGAATATGGTTAATTCACATTAAAGCCACACAGGCACCAAAACACCGTTTACAATAGCAAGAGGAAGAGAAACACAGGTACTTATTCAAAAGTTGCATGAAAAAGTTACATTGCATCGACCCGTTAAGTTGAACCTCCCACTAATTGCATCGACCCATTAAGTTGAACCTCCCACTAAAGTCGGGTAGACCTTGACACCTTACCAACGGCATACTCTTGTGACTTTCTACTCAAGGAAACATTTTTTTTAAGTGTTTTTTTTTCAGTCCTTACCATTTGTTCATCATTCTGGGCAGATTCCTCCAGTAGCTCGGGTGGTTTGTGCGTTTCATCCAGTAACCTCTGCTGCACCCGCAAGAGGTAAGTGGCAAATGCCAGCCTCGCTTGCAGCTTCCTGGAAAACGAAAACAGTTAGGGCAAACTAAAACAAATTTTCATTTGAGAGTCTGTCCAATTCAATTGACAGTAAGGTAAACTCTTCATTTGAGGAACATGAGAAAAGCAAGGGGTGTAGGAAAATGGAATTCATGCAGAATGCCTACCTTAATGACATCTCAAAAATTAAATTTGCTACACAGAAGCATCTTTAAAATATGACTGGATTCAAGTTGAATGAATTCCGATGTTTACTTTATTCCAATTGAGTACAGCATTGCTGTTACAAACACCACTACGCGGAACAATTGGGCCAACCAAACATGCCTTGTAAGTGTGACTCTGATGTAGAAAATCTTGCATTATTGATACAAGGATTCTTCCCTTGAAAAAAAATCATTGAAGCAGAAATTAAGCGCACAAACAGACAGACTTTTCCAATTTAACTCCAAGAAATCTTCATTACGTATTTTGATAGTTTCGATCGTTTTCAACAACAGTTGTAAACTTATGGTGCCCCACTGCAACTCAAGTACTGTAGAATGGTTTCCAGCACATCTATTACAATTCAATTTTAGTGACAGGAACCAGTGTAACTAGACGGTATGTCACATGTGATTTTTAAGCAATGACTCAAGGAAAATTCATGGGAAACTTGATTTTGTTTTGCAATTGACTCCACTGCTAAAAACCTGAAAAAAGGTAATGAACATACATTGTACATTGAAGAAATTCATGAATTTCAGTGACATTTATGTTTAATTTGACTTTTTTTGCATTGGAAGAGTTGGCTCATATCCTTACACAGAAACACTCATGAGGCAGGCCACCGCACATTTGAAAATGCTTGACCGAGTGCATCTGTGCTGACAAATTGCTATAATGACCCCTACAACAAGCCTATTGTGTGGACTCTGCCATGTTGGTTATAGCAGCATTGTACTGTATGTCAAAGGCTACTGCAACTCCTTTGGAAAATTTAACCAAGTTTCATGTTGAATGCAACTCACGAAATGTCGCCCCCGCTATTCATGATCTCAGGCACGTTGATGCTCTCCCTGATCTCCTTGGCCGAGGGCTGCTTCTGCACCTCCAGCACCATCCGGGCCCCCTTGTTGTCCTTGCTACCAGCAGGTGGTGCCACAGGAGGCTTCCCCGAAGGATTGATCCTGCCCTTTCCACCGTCCTGCTGTGTCCCACTTCTGCCACCGTCCTGCTGGGCCTTCCCACTGGCCAAGGAGCTCTGGCTGGAAGTGACCGAGGAGGAACCGGGCTTGTGGCCTGTTGGCTGTGAGGACCGACTGTGAACAGCCTGGGCACTGGACTTTTGAGTGTCTTCAAGCTTGCCTTGGACCAGAGGTTCTCTCTCCTGCCGTTCACTTTTGACTGCACTGCGCATCACACCAGCTTACAGGGATAGAGCAAAGAACATAAGAGTTCAGATGTACAACTGTCTGTAACTGGAGCAGCTGAAGGGTTAGCACTGGAGAAATCTCTTTTCTACCGTCACTGTGTCTTAGAGGATTCTTGCTTGGACAATCACTTTGACAGGCTTAACTACTTGACTGCCTCTGGGAGGCAATTACCAATCCTTGGTGGAAATTTTTCCCCAATGAAATCTTGACACTTGGCACAATGTAATAACTTTTCACCTGAACTACCCATTTGCTCCTGTCAACAAACAACTGACACAAAATGCCATGCTCAAGAACATGGGCATCCCAATATTCCTGAAAGGTTTGGACAATTTTCAAAGCATCAGCCATTTCCAACTTTTGGCTTCCACCCACATAATTTTTTTCAGGCCTCTGACTCTTGAAATATTCAGCCTCATTGGGAGTCTATTTTCTGCTCATACCATATCGTCAGTATGACTCAAAACCAAAACTCGGGCCTCCAACTTGCTTCACACATTTAATACTGCCAATAAATGGTTTCCAATCAAGGACCAAGTCGAAGCTCCAGACAGGGCAGAGGTCTGGTGAATGGTATCTAGACACCAGCTTGTTTGGAAAAGCATCTGATGCAGCAGGTTGTCAGACTTCAAAGCAAATGGTACTGACAGGGACAGATCTAGCAGGTTGTTATCCCCAGCGAATAAAATTGTGACCTGTTCAGTGAAAATGAGTCATGAGGCGATTTCTAAGTAGGAGCAAGCAAAGCTCCTTGTTTTATAAGCATTACTCCTTTTAATATCCTAATGAAAATGGACACTGTGGTGGGTGAACATGTTGATAACTTTAAGGGTTCCTGCTGACTCCCACAGTCAAAGACACTTTTACAAAGCCATGGTTCATGTTGAAAACGGTGAAAAATCACTTATAGGTGTTCATTGCATCCATGGTCGGAAGTGTTCTGAATGTATTTGGACCTAACCCTAGCTCCGGACAACAAGAACGGATCACGGATAGGATGCAGCCCACTGTACAGCAACAGCAGTTTTGCTTGTAACCACGTAGTTGCCGTCTTCAACCTTGCAGCACTCCGATTTCTTCTGAAATAATGGCAGGGGCTCACATGGGAGATCCCTACTACAGTGAAGGGTCTCTGAGAAGGTTTAAAAAATGGCCTGGGCAGTCACTTGATGGAACAGTGGTGGGAAAACTACGTACACACTGCAACTGTTTCATCATTCACAGGGGGTTGCATGAGCAATGCTGACACCCTGGATTGGAACATTTAGCAAAAATCACCACGCCAATGCGCTGATCAATGTGTATGATGATAAATTGGTAATCCTCATACATTGCCCTGTCCTCCCGTAACCTCATGGCTGATGTTGCTTTAGTGTGTACTTGGTCGGAATCATCATATGGAACCTCTTTTGACCCACTGGGAGTGATAACGGTGACAAACTTGTGACCTGATATCTTTCCAGCACTGCCTAACCCTCTCCATTGGTTGTTGAACACAGATTGGTCTTTGCCTACCAGTGCTCTGGAGGTGGGTTGGTCTGTTTGTGGTGTTTTTTTTTTTAGGGGGGGCTGACTTTCCACATGGTGAAGTCACACTCTCAACGGACCTTTAAGGGACAAACCGCAGTGACAGCATGTGGCCAAACCGCAAGGATGTTACGGATAAGCTCCCTAATTCACAATGTGCACTATGAATATCAAACCACAGCAACTTACCACTGAACATCCTCTTGAGAGTCGGGTAGCGCTGACGCACTTTGTTGCGCACCTGCTTTCGACCTGACACATTTTCTGTGGTGTCCAACTTCCGTGTGAACTGGCAGAGGTGCTCCTGGAGCTCCCGGTCTGCTAATTCCTGCAAAATGGTGCTTGTCACTTTCCTGAGGTGAGGCAAAGATCCAATGTACTGCAAAGTTAGCTGACAGAACACATTCTTTTTTTTATACATTTCATGCTTGGCTAAACAAATTTGGTTCTCTTGGAAGCTGAGCAGGGTTTTGTTCTCCCCTGAACTCGATGACTTTTCTCTTCAGACCTTGGGAGGCTCAAAGGATACTGATTTCTGAATACACATCGCTGCAGCCTATATGTACTGGACGCACAGCAAGGTCAATATTTAGTTGTGGGTGATTTAAGAATAACTGATTAGATCAGCCTTTTGTCACATACACGTATTTGTTCATCAGCAGATTCGTCGGCTGCACCACAAAGTGACACGTAAGTTTTGGTTGTCCTTAAAGTGATATACGGTCCACAGACCTTGTGCAGAGTTTGTGGTGCAGCAACTATCAACAATACGTCAGTTTTGTGACGCAACCAACAGACTGATCATGAACCAGTCCAGAAAGGTTTAAGGAGAGGAAAGTAGAAAGTGACAGAGGTCAAGCATGCAGAGTTAATATTAAAGATCAGTCTTGTCATTGTAACATATAATGGTCATGCATTACAAACAAGTGTAAATGGTAACTCTTTATGAACGAAGAAATAAGCGAGTAAGTTTTGGTTTTTGGGAGATAGTAACCTGACAAACAGCTGGACTGAAAAATAACCAGACTGAAAGGTTTTTTTTTCTCTGTTACCATGATCCTAATCACAACATTTTGCCACCACACACAATAGGCTTTTGCCTTTCATTTAACCAAAAAAAGTTGAGATGTCTGTTTCAAAAATGAGTACAAACAATCCCTCCCAGGGTGACAAAACCTTTTGTGATAAACTTAAAAACTTGACATATGAGACAGCTTAACACAAGTCCACTCACATAATACAGAACTGCTGATCAATCATGAAAGTTGAGTAAAAGCATTTCCAAGAAACAAAATTTAAAACCAATCTACAAAAACAAGGACTCGTACAGTGTTAAATTATTCGCATGCAATGTTACAGAATACAAAGGATTACGTAAATAAATTGCATGCAAAGTTAAAGTACTTCATGCAGAATCATATCAACTTCATGCAGTATTAAGATGATAAAAGTTAAGAGGAGTTTAGGTTGACTTACTTTGCCCTAGTGAAAAGGCCAGTGCCTGACGACAAATCGAACATACTGAAAGAGAGTTTTATGAAACACGAACATAGTCAATACCACCAGGGGTCATTTGAACGATGCCTGGGCTGCAACATTTTTTTTTCTTTCTGCAAAGCATTGCAATGGTTTGGCACTACTTTGCATGATGACAATTTGCTTTACTAACGGCCTAATGCCCAACACTGTAGTGAAGTATTGATGGGGTAAGTTGGCACTCTACAGCTAAGCATGAAATGCAGAGATAATCTTAGAAGATACCTTCAACAGTTTGTACACAAAACACGGCTGCTGTGTCGATAAAACTCCCGAGGAAAATGAGGGGCAAACTCCACTGCGGTTGACGCTAATTACAATTGTGGCCTTCAGAACTCCAAAAGATCCGGAAAGTGTCTTTAAGATTTCATTTACATTTCTCAATGTATTTCGCAAGAGACGTGTAACTCGGATGCAATTTCTTCCGTTCTTCCCAATGTGCACTGCAGAATTTAATACCAATATTACATACACTGGTACCAATGTGTTGCATGCTTGGACCTGAACAACCTGTTCTGCCGGCACTTGAAAAGTCACTTCGCACCAGATAATCCGTTAAAAATCATCATAGCTCAGTTCTTCATTTCCAAACTGTCCAATGGGAAATTCAAATTAAGATTCCACAAGGATGAACTAAAAGTAATAGGTTTGCGGAAACACCATGCAAGATATTTTTTCTGTGAGTATGTGTGGTTCTGATAAGGACCAAGGGTACTTTGCATCAGATCAACTATGCATGAGATAAGAGCTCACAATTCTGTCTTTCTGCTCAGACTTGAAGCATTCCCTCACCAGCACTGAAGGGCTATCGAATAGGTTGGTGGTACATGTGAGTCATCCAACTGTGCTTGTTCACGCACACCATGCACACCCAAACAGCAATTGGTCCCACATGCTGAGCATGGCTCACCAAACACATATAAACCCATGTAAACACATGACAAATTCCAATCAGAGGACCATGACCACTGTGAAAAGGCAAGTAAGTAATCTCTTGTTCCTGCATGGAGTAGATTAAACACAACTTTTGGCACTGCTCAATGTGACTTGTGGCTCCAAGAATACAAAAGACAGAGGCCCTTCAATGACTGCGTAACAAGCACTCCCTCAAATCCCGCATAAGCACATCATTGAAAATGCAATACCAATGTTACAACATCGAGTCTCCATCCTTGAAACGGGCAAACGTGGAACTTTTTGTTTGACCGTCCCAGCCCTGAACATCTTCCAAAGGCTGCTGTGGAAGTCTGGCCTTTGGTGGCATTCCCCGGCTCCAAATTACGTTATTCTGCTTGACCCAAGCAGCTAGCCATAACAAGGTTGAAAGGCAATTTCCCTCCAGTGCATTGGAACTGATTCAGGAACTAAAGGCGCCCCAGTATGACCAACTGCAAAGGCATATCATGGAAGTGAGTGAGCTCAATCAATTGTGAGCAGAGAACACGACACTCCAATTCTTAATAACACCTGTTTCATGATTAAAAGCTGTTTATGCTGCTGACTCTTTCGGCTGATCAGTACACGTCACAAGCCACCTGAATGCAAATTTACATATTCCTAAAACCTGTAAACCAACGACCCACAATTTTTCAGCCATGATGTGAAACTGAGTTTCTTGGAACTCACTCAGCGGCTGTTCACAAGGCAGGGATGAAATGCATTACACAACAACCGCAGCAACTCACAGTAAGATGTCAGTGCGTGAATTAAGTGAATAAACTTGAAGAAATGTTACAAGACACCTCAGCTTTCATCATGAATCTTATGCGATGCTTATGTACCAGTGCTGTAGTCGAGTATTTTTCCGAGTACCAACGTTCTCCACAAAATACTGAACTGGGTAAAAGGGAATAAAGCCAGAGTGCACAGGCATTTGATGGTAAATGTGCAAAGGTAAGATTACAAAATAAATGTTAGACTTCAGACACTCCCAGTTGTGTAAAATTTAAGTTTTAAGGAGAAAAGTACTGCCCGAGTACTTTTGTCCTAAAAAGTTAATTTCAATCAAACAGCGATGGTCTGAAGTCATTATGTTGCTTTGTAATCTTACCTTTATGAATGTACCATCAAATGCCGATGTAATTCAGCTTTGTTCCCTCCAACTAGTTAAATATTTGGTAGAGAACTTGGTTCTAAAAACGTACTCAATTACATCACTGTTATGTACATGTAGTCTGATCGAACAACATGGACTCTAACATATAGGCCTACATATGTATTTCCAACATGAAGCTACTGCAGAACAATTGGCTGATGAAAACTTTGTACGGTCAATTCGCAAATATCATCTAGAAAGACAAGATGTAAAACTGCTTTGAAGTTGGAAAACTCCTCCAAAATGTGCTACTGATGACCAGCAGTCTACAAACAATGAGGCTGTGCATTCATGGAGATCACCTGGGGTTTGATTTATAAAAGTGCAGCATGGTTTTTTGTGGTGTTACAGCTATCGTAAGTATTACCTCAACACCACACTCCTATTAACAAGTAAAAGTTGATGTACCTTCATGTACAATCCTAACCCACATCAGCACTGATTTAGTTCACCACCATGGATTTATTGAGGAAGGGGTTATTAATTTTCTCAGCTTGGATTGCCAATGTGTGCATGTACTGCATAGGCTTGGGCGAGGTCAGGGGCACAATGTATTTCAAAACCAAAGTCCCACGACCGAAAATGGCCACAACTCCAACAAAGTATGCAAACCTACAGTGACAAATATACATGTACATGCATTGTACAGATATAACACGCTTTAACCACTTGCTGCCGGGTGGATTTTTCTTGAGCAAGACAAGATGCCTGGTCAATTTCAAGATTTTCTGTTTTCAAAATTCTTCAAAAATTCATCATTTCACATAATGGCCGGTTATACCCACATGAATGACTCTTTGGGCCCTATTCTAAAGCTGACAGGTAAACTTCATTGACTCCTGAATATTTCAGCCAGGCCTGCAACCTTGGAAAAAGAGCCCAGATTGTGCGGTTTTAGGTAAGATTCATTTGTTCCCGAAACCGGCACTGTGCACTGCTGACCTCTTTTCAATAAGGGCCAGATTAGCGTGCAGCGGTGCTGTGTGGCTCATCGCTGCAATGGTGGAGAGCTTTTGTCCCCAGTGGTAATCCGCTCGCTCTAAATGCCTCAAACTGTGGTATACTGTTTCAAAACCAGGCTGGATTATCTCCACTATTGAGAGCGAAAAAATGTTGGTAATGCCCAGCAGCTCAGTCGTTTGTGCTGAGCAGGGTCTTTTGTTATGAGGCCCAACTCTTTTGTCCCAGTTCCGGGCTCCCTGGCTCTGCATATAAAGCCTATGTACCCGGAAGTAGTCAAGAGTGGGTAGTGAGCCGATTCTAGCTCACCGAGGTATTTGAAATTGATAAACTCTTCCCAAGGTAAAGCTGAGAGAACCAGTTTCTCAATTTCCAATAACAGGAAGAGCAAAAATCGACTATCTACTCAAAATCAACAAAGTTATTTTTTTTCTACCATACGTCAGACACATTCATTCAGGCATTAAACTTTCAGGAGTAACAGAAAGGTGACATGTACTGTTAGTGTGCCCCCGTCTGTTCATGTGGGCTTTGCTCACACGTGCATACTTCACTCACGCAACAATTCCATCACCTGCCACCAACAGGTATTTGACTTGCGCAGTAATAAACAATTAAAAATAGCAACTGGCACATGATCAATGGACTAATGAGAGTTTGGCTCTCGATCATGAATATGTATGAGGTATGGTAATATACAAATCCAGTCCTTACAACAGGCTCTCAGCCTGGTACATAGTGAATTTACATTTTAAAGAAATGCTGTTTGGAGTTGAGATAACGGAATAACAGGATGAGGTAGCCTGCATGACTTGTTCTTTACTTTATTCATGTTCCTATGGTAGGCAAGCATGTTGTTACTGTGTGTGTTTACTGTCCGCCAAGGTCAAGCAAAGACTTAACTGGAAGTCTTTGGTAAAAAAAAATGACGGCAAAAACATTTGATTTTTAATCCTGAGCACTGTCCCTGGCAAACTATTTCGATGAAAAATGTGAAAAAAGATCAAAATGACCTGACCATAAGAAAAATATGACTGACGAAGATGAACCCACGTCAAAAATATACCACTCTAGCGGCTGAAATGGAAAGAAAGCAATAGCATCCCATGAGTAAATGTGTGCCAACTGTAAGATGCTGTTCTATCAACTGATGTCCACATTCTATTGAGTGCAATTAATCCCTAGCAAACTGTTAATGACCATCAAATCTTGTCAGTTTATGAGTTACGATATTCACACGCATGCATTGGACTCTACTACAGCCATGGCCCTTGGATATCAAAACCCAGAGCAACCCTTGCTCTGTGAGTGTAACTTTGTGGTCGGTCTAATAGACATGCCAACCTTCTCAACGTTTGGAGGATGCAAACCAACCTGATTGGGGGGTGTCCTCATTGGACTATCACAGTGAAATTACTTCATCTATATTGGCATTCACTGTTTAGTGTATGGGCTGGTTCACACAGAGCAAAAAGTATCACGAACAGATAACACAATTCTGATAATGTCGTGAAATATACTTCCGGTAAAACCTGCAGAAGTTGAAATGCTTTCACAACTGTGCATGATCCAGCCTTACAGTTCCTCACCATATTTACAATGACCCCGATTGTAGTACACAGGACATTGCCCTACGGGCAAGCACTGCAGAGCAAGGGTTACTTAACTGCTTAGCCACAGCAAACCAACTTACTTGTCTGGGTACAGACGGCTGTGCAGCACTTGGTTCAAGTTGGTACGACTCTCTAAGAAATTTCTGTATTTGTAAAAACAGGATGACACCACATTAACAAAAACAACACATGTTCAAAAAAACCTGTTGAAACTACACTGGGGCAATGACTACTAAAGTTCCAATACAAAAGAAATCAACACAGGATTGAAAAAAAGGGACTGCCTTTCAATCTCCAAGATTCTAGAACGGCATCTCAGTACTCCAGCTCTTTGCAATGGGACGGTCTGAGCCAGGCTGAGGTAAACAGAGTGAAATTTGACTAGACATTTCCAGGCTGGAATAACATCTCAGAAAGCAAGGTGGGATGGGATGCTGGTCCATCTTGACTTGGCTTGGACAATGAAGAAGACTTGGTGGCGCACTGCAACTACAAAACTCTACTCCATGTGCACATATCCCGTATGTGGAATGTATATGCACACACTGCAGATATGTGGGGCTGGAGATTTGAGAAGCTCCATCAGTCAAGCTTGAGCTAGATGGCAAGGGAAGACTGTAAAACTACCCTTTCCATCGCAGGTATTCATCTCTACTCCCAGTTTCTCAACCCCCACTCTCTGTCATCAACCAC